CGGCGAAATTTCGAACACAAGAGGGAGGGGGAGTGCTCATTTGGTGACCCTGTAGTCATTGGAAATTACCGCCAGAGACACGGTCGTTTGTAGGGCACCTGCCGCTCGAAAATCTGCCGGACGAGTCTCGTGCAGCCCAAAACATGCGCTGCGAGAGGATGGGAAAATCTTGAAGCCGATAGAGGTTTTCCGGAGATGGAAAAGAAACCGCCGAAGATTTCTATGAATGACAGGTTCCCGATAATAGGTCCATATAGTTCCTCAGTGTCGGAATCGGTTGTTGTGCCGGAAAAGGCGCCCTCTTTCTCATGTGAATCTGGCTTCCCATTTTTCTCAGGAATGTCTTCGTTCGAAGCAAGGGGCAGCAGGTGAAATCTTTTGTCCCTCCTAAGCCCATTCATGAGCGAGAAGGGAAATCCATGAGGGTGAGCCCCATCTCATTCCACTTGTTCCAACTCTCTCTTCTGTCCGTATATATCATGTATTTATGTGTGTGCCAGTGTGTGAGAACGTCCCTTTTTTTTTTCTTTTTTTTTCTTGCTCTTCTTTCTCTCTCTGTCGCTCTTTCTTTTTTCTGTTCCGGCGGGGCAGGACCCGCTCTGACAAACAAGAACGACACTTTCCCATGGACTTCATTCAATTTTACGTAATTCCCCGTGAGAGCGAAGCGTAAAGAGAAGAAGAAGAAGGGTCCGATCTCCGTTCACATCTTCAGATTTGAAACGTGAGGCCCTTCCGGTCGACCCCTTCTTGGTTCTTTAGATCTCTTGCCTCCGGGCCTGGATACACAGCCTGCTTTTGTGGTTTGCGCGTAATACACGGTGCACTTTTTCTCATCATGGTCTGCTTATTATAATTATTTGTTGGGTAAGGAGCCTGGCACGAGCTAGCAGGGCGTCTGGCAGCATGTCGTCGCCCGACTTTGAAAAGCCCCAATTGCAGATTGCAACTCTTGAGATCCCCACGCGCTTCACAAAGAATCTCGCCGTGCAAAAGTTGGAATGCGACAGGGGGGTCAACGCCACATCACACGAACCAAAGATCGGACCGTATTGCATTTGAATAGGCTTCAAAGAATCATTGAATGGAGGCAGCTTGAATCTTGAAAAAGTGGGCTAGAGGGATTACCGTCCTCAATAGCTGCCAATGAGCTTCTTGGGAGTTTGTTGTGACGTCAAGAGGAGAGCAATGGAATCCCAGGCATTTCTTGCCGAAGAGAAAAGGCCGAGTTTGACAAGCGAAAGGATTAAGCTCCTCAATGCATTCCATGGCCTCAGCGCAGTGAATTATTCACTTGATCATAACAAGTGAGTTGTTCATCGCGTGAAAAGAAGGGCAGGGGCCGGTGCAGTCCGTTCCGTCATTCTTTCGGTCCTCAAGAATCCGGTTCAAAAGGTCTGTCTGTTCCGTCCGAACCGGCTCCACTGACCGTGACCTTGGGAACTCCTGGATGCCGAATGTTTTCCAGGTATTCGGAGAGACAGGGTGCTGGATGGATCTGGAGAGGGGGAGTATGACAGATCACGGGTATATGTGCTGGGAAACAGGTGATGTTTCCCTATAGGACCGGAAAGCAGACGGATGGGGTCCCACGTTCGGCAGGTGATCGGTTCTCGAGATAATGTATTCGTGTGTACATTGTGTACAGGCGTCGCTTCGAACATCCTTTTCCATCCCTTTCGTGCTGACAGTCGAAACGCGAAGCATGGTGCCATGACAAGGAGTTTCTCTTCGGATGAAAATGACATTTAAGTTGAAATGCATAGTTCTACGGAATTCCCTTTCTTCGCCCCCCATGAGTTCCATCCAATTTCCGCCGGGTTTCTCGACCCTCTATTAGCAGCTCGGGTAATAATGGATTATTATAGACAATTTCTCCATTAATCCAGTCGTCGTTTTCAAGAAAAGCAACAGTTGGGTTCAGGTGGATAACACGTGCTGCTGTCATTTCCTCGAAAAAGAGAGAGGACCCCAAGGAACATGCTGTGGCCAGACGGTGCCTCCTTCGCCACTGGGCGCACCTGTCGTTCGTTTTCCCTTTGCGGTAGCGAGGTCAATAGTCGTTTGCCTGAAATGATCAGAAGAAAATGAGCCTAATGAGAGAGAAAGAAGGGGGGGGGGGGGGGAAACCAGGAGGTGGTCATCTGGTGGCAAGGTCGAATATGGTCTACCGCCTTCCCTTTGACACCTGTTACAGCGGAAGAAAGAAAAAGGAAAAAACGAGACATGTGTTGAATGTGCCTCCGGGACCATCCTAGAGCGGCACCGTGCTCTCTTTTTCCTTCCCTCTCCTACCCACTGACCAAATGCGCCGAGCCATTCCTGGGTGACATGACATATGGGAGGCATGGAGACACTTGCCACTCTTTCAAGTGGAAAGTTTGATATATCTAGTTTTTCACATATCAGAAAGTTTATTCGTTACTGGACGCTTCTCTGCCTTTGAATTGTCCAGGGAGTTCAATCGAGATCCTATGGAGACTCATTGAATTCATGTTTGACCCAATTAAGTGAGTTTTGCTGAAAACCTCATTCCAGTCTCCTGGGAGACTGGAATGAGTTTTTTTTTTTCTCTCTCTCTCTCTCTCCCTCTCCCTCTCCCTCTCTCTCTCTCAGAAAAAGGGCACCGTGGAAGCCTTCCTCGTAGTGTCCGGGGTGTTCAATTTCCCATAACACCCGACGATCGGGAGTCGAGTCCATCCATCGTTGGCCAGATGAAACAGTTTCAGTTGTGTCAGAGATGTATGGGGTTGGAATATAGCGTGACTAATGCAGCGAAATGAATGTGGGGAAGGGGTGGCGAGCGGGGTGCGGAAGTCGTCAAGGAAGCAGGTGAGCCTGTATGTACAATGCTCTGTCGGTCTGTCTCCCCAATAAGTTCGCGCAGATGGGCCAAAACTAGACGGAAGTGTCAACTGTATGCCTACGGCGCTAATTCTGATAGGCACGTGCCACAACGAGGGAATTCCGCCCCAAAGGGTTCACCTGCTTCCCTGTTATGTCCACCCACAAACCTATTCCTGAGGGATTCCAACACGATCATCTTGATCGAAATTTTATCTAAAATTTTTCTCGACCTTTGTTTAGCTCATAGCCACCTGACTCTCGAAGCTTGTTCGAGAGCCAACTCATTAGATCTGTGGGGTTAATTACGTTTGGCTGCGGCGAGCCAATAGAGCAGGCATATATAGGTTAAAATTACATGTTAAATGTGTAATGACATCTGAGGTGTAATTTTGGAGCGTGCCGATCTGCTTCGTGAAATAACACAGCCGCAGGGAGAGGGAGCCATCTGGTTCGTTCATTGTGAGAACAGGTGGGTAATTGGAGGTGGCTGGTTGGCATTTTTTTGTCTTCATGGAGTCTCCTTTGAGGGCTCTTCTGTCGGCCGGTGCGTGGGGGGGAGGAGGTTGTTAAAGCAATTTAAAGCCACGCTCCCTACACACGCCTCCGTAATCATGATCATCATCTATTCTATGATATGGACGTGGTGTCACCCTCCTTACCTCTCAGCCTATCATCAACGTTATCAACGGATCTCGTGGTACATGGGTATTTCCTTGTTCGTCATCGCGGATATGATCCGACGGGCCTCTTAACCCCAACGTTTCTGAGAACAAAGCAGCCATTTCCAATGCTAACGAGGACGTAAACGGCGCCTTTACAAAACCGTCATTCGTAAAAGCTATCGGTAAAAAACATTAGCACCATGTATCAACGACTTATCTGACTCATCGCAGGGAAAAAAAGTTATTTCCTAATCTATTGATGCATTGTTTATGTTGTAAATGGTGCAATGGCAATGACCTTACAATGGCAGCAATGGAATTATATCAATGAAAACAAAAATTCGTTGGGCTGGTGGTTTTTCGCACGTCATAAACAAAAACTTCTCACCCACCCGGAGAGTTTCTATAGATCCTACTGCGGGAACCCATCACTTTCACCTCGGCTCTCTCGTTTCAAAGGTACGCGGTTCCCACAGGAAATTCCAGAGGCTGGGTATACAATCATGATGTGTACACCTCGTCAATAGGGGTCCCCGAGCCAGGACCCCCCTCATAAGAGGTGACTGCGATTATGCAGTATCTCATGGCTGCTGGAGGAAGAGAGGAAGAATGAATGCCTGAGACGAGAGGGAAGCGAGAGAAAGCGTTGTTCATTCACCCAGAATCTCATTCAACCCATGTGGGTGGCATGGACCTGGTTCCATTCATCACGACGACAACTGGGAGTCGGCAAGTGGCAACCCCTCGTATTCGCTCCAGTGGAATGTGAGCAGTGGAAAGGTGGAAGAACAAAGAGGTTTTTTTGCAATGAAAAAGTACTTCTTGTTCTATGAAAAAAAGACTTTTTATTCTATCACTGGAAAAATACTCCATGGAAAATCTCCTCATCTCGAGAGACAGGGAACAGAAAGTTTTGACTTCATCTCTCATCTACACTGGCACTTATTTCAATCATTATGACTAGTCGGTGACAAGCGTCGAGGATCTGGCTACATGGGAAGAGGAATATCTCACATTAGGCACAGCAGAATTCATTGTCCATGCTACCTGAGCGCTTCATGACTCATCAGTTCGTTGTCTAGTATGTACAAAAAATGACACTGGTAACCCTCTGAATTTGGCAGACTTGAGCTAATCAATATCCCGAGCTAAAAAAGCCGGTAATGAGCACGGGGCACGACAAAAAATTGGGGAAAGTACAGAAATTACAGTAGGCATCGCGAGTGAACAGGTTATCCTTGGAAGGGAAATAAGTCAGCTGGCATCTGGAGTAATAATCTTGACTTGAGGGCACAGATGTTTTGAAGCATACACCTGTCGTGTTGTGGCGGCAGAGGGCGTGTGCTTGCTTGCTTGTTTCTGTCTCCTGTCCTTCCACAGCTATGATGAGATACGGGTATCGGAGTCCGCGAGTCCGTCTGGCTCGTTCTCACAGTGAAGAAGGGCCAATCATAAGCGTACACTTGCTCTCAGGTTTTTCCCCTCCATTACTCACGCGGAAGAAGGCAATGTGGCGCCTGCACATCCGCTTTCCTCGTGCTTGTGTAACAGGCTCATCCTCGAGAACGTCTTCTTGCACACCTTGCATGAATACTTCTTGACATCTGAATGGGTTTGCATGTGGGCACGTAGATTTGATCTGTCTGCGAAGGCTCTCATGCATTGTGGGCAAGAAAACGGTTTCTCTCCGGTATGAGTTCTGATGTGTCCTTGGAGCAACCAGGGCCTGGAGAAGGCTTTTCCACAAAGTTTGCATTTGCAGGGGAGAGTATGAGTCCTGATATGCATTTTCAACGCCCCCAAGCTCACGTACACTTTTTCGCAATACTTGCAACTGAAGGACTTCTTCACCTGACTGCTGCAGTGGAACTGACGGTGCTTGGTCAGCCCACTGAAGGTAGAGTATGATTTGTTGCAGTCCGAGCAATGGTAACGCGGTGGCTCTTTGGTCTCGGAGCGAGAAGGAGCACTGGTGGGGAAGTCAACCGGGGACAGAGATCCTGTACAAGAGCTCGTGGGGCTGTAGGCTGGTGTTGGGCTGGGGCTGGGTCGGCCTTCCCGGAGCTTCTCGGCCAAAATAGGATAGAGAGAGGTGTTTGACGGGTCTGAGGCTTCTGGTGGTGAGAGAGGTGTGAGAGGTCCCATAAGTTCTGCCTTCGTGGGAGGAGAGATATGCGGGGGAGACGTGGATTCCCTAGGAGAATTTTGGCTGAAGTTACGCGGGGAGTGGACGGGGTACAAAGGACTCAACATCCCATTGTATCCATACATCTCGGATGGCTGCCGGTAGTAGGAGAAGTTGAAGGGAAGGTAGGGGTTGTAGGAAACGCTTCGATGCCAGTGAGGATGCTCTGGATAAGGAGATGCTGTGCTATTCAGGTTGATCGGTTCCAAAGGAGTTGGTTTCAACACCACGGGATCCATAGGCTCATTTTTCTCAGCCATTTTATAGGCTCTGTTGTAGACATCAAAGGCTGGATAGCGGAGAGCTGCCAGATCGACCTCTTCTGTAGGTGCATGTTTGTAAGGAATGTTCTGAATTGGGGAACTTGGCCGCAACTTTTCTGGGCTCACGAATCGAGGCTTCAAGCTCAAGTTTTCAGGCTCAGGTACTTCTTCGGATACTGCAATTGCAAGGAATCATTCGCATTAGGGTTGTTGTATAAACGAAATCAATCATTAAAAGCACAAGCAAGAGAGTTATAGATGCTTAGATAGGGATGGAGACACTCACCGTGATCGTCATCGTCGACATATTCATTGAGAAGTTGTAGGGGTCTCTTCTTGAGAGGGCAGTTTTCGTAGCCCTCCTTCCTCATGAGGAACGCACGCGGCATGGTGCTGAGATGAACGGAACGAACACGACTGAGATCACCACAGACTCATATGATATTAGAGGAAGAGGGGGACGTAGCCCGGTGAGGACGAGAGTCGGAATGAAAATAGGTATCGGGGAGGGGCCCCTAGTCTATATAACCATGCCGGGAGGTTTTTGCCGAGGCCAGGCGGTCAGGTGCATGGAGTTTCGCACGTGCTAGGGAGCCAATTAGAAAGCCGGCAGCTGGAGCCTCCCACCAATGGGAGAGGCGAGCGACAATATGTAAGACAGGTGCAGGGGAAAGACGGAGGGAGAGCGTGCGTACGGCCCTGGCCTCCTGCCTCGTACTGCTTCCCTTTCTTTATTCCCTTCTTTCCTCCCCTCTTCCTTCTTCCTTGTTCATAGGTGTTCCTCATGAGGAACGATCGCTTGACAAGCTTCTATACCATCGAAATTGCCTCGTGATGGAGGCTGGCATGCCCCAAATCGGTGTAACTTGAGCCTCGTTTCTCGATGAGCTTTCACGGGAATTGGATCCCAAAGTGAAATAAAATCGGTTTAAGGCAAACTGATTTGGCGCATCCGCCCAAAGTTCGAAGCCAAATCAACTTTAACTCTTTCAGGTACTGTGGTTCAAACAGTAAACCATGAGTATTAACGGTGTTGAACCATGGTGGCACAAAATTAGTAGCACAGCTAGATATTTTGGTTCCACTTCCGCACGCAAGCTCAAAAATCGTACCATCTCCTATCTCAGTAGGAAATAGTGCATTAAGATGAAAGATAAAACTTGTGCTTCTGAGGCAATTTTTGAAATTCAAATTCCTCGCTTAGAGGTAGAGAACTACCAAACTTAAAATTCTTTGGAGGCATTCGTAGAAATGGCGTCGTAGGGAATATATAGTCCATGTATGTGTCCAGAACTAACTGCGAGAAACCTGCGAGAAATGAAGGCCAGTTCAATTCAATTTCAAAAGCATGACTTGAAGGGCAGCGTAAGCCGCTGCTGAATAAAGCAGTTCATACAGTGTGAAAATATATTGGGGAGGGGGGGGGGGGGGGGGGGGGGAAG